CGTACGCGTCTTCCATGTAATCGAAAAAAAAATCAGATTACCTAAGAAATACTCCATCCGTCCCAAAATATAAATATTTTTAACATAGTGACAAGTCAAACTATTTCAACATTGACTATTAATAGCAACAAAATAAAAAATATTACTCATGTAAAATTGATGTTACTAGATTTATCATTAAATAAACTATCATAATATATAACTTTTTTTATTTAAAACATCTTAATTTTTATAGATACTGTTGGTCAAAATAGCATCTTGGAGATCGTGTCAGAGTCTAAAAATGTTTATATATATTTTGATATGGAGAGAGTACAAAGCAACTTGTTTGAAAACCCCAAAAAATTGCTGGTAAGCTACTAGTAGCTGCAATTGTCCAATGGAAAGGGCTGGAGGAGAAGAGAATTACGTACGGGAATTCAGCATCTCTGAAAAAAATTGTAGTCTTTCTGATGAGCTGACTAGCAGGGAGGCCGGCAACAGATGAACCGAATTCAGAAGCAAAAAATTCAGTTAGTCATGACATGCACGTCGCTGAATGATCATATCGCTAGCTGGTGGTATGTACTGATCTGCCAAAAAAAAAAAAACTAAGGCCGGAGCTAGCACGCATGCACTTGTGTTTCCACATAGTATTTTGCTGCACTCTTGATTTTTCTATTGAAATCCTGTGTATCAACACAGTTCACGCAGCTGGATAACTAATGGAGAAATAACCGATCGCCAACGCTGGCACTGTCCAATATATATGACTCAAAATCGCATGAAATTAGTTGCAAAAGTTCATCACGCACTGCATGCTGGAGTAGTTTTCTCTTAAGACTTTTTTTAGAGTACTGGTGTTTTAATTTCTTTCAGACTTTCTTTCTGAAAAAAAAAAGAACTCCTTTCAGATTATCAGATATATCGAAGGGGGGTGTATCAATAAGCTTTTGCATCTCCACATGAATCTCCTGCAGCAATATGGATCATATCGATGCATAACATGTTCTGCGTTATCCCATGAACTCGATCTCAGTCACAAGCATGACCTGAAGATGCTCCTTTTTTCCCCAAAAAAAAGATCATGGCCTGAAGATGCTCGATCATTCACCTCTCGCGGCCATGCATGCATGCAATGCATGGGACTGAGTACTGAATAATTCATGCCTTTGCTTGAGTCTTGATTTCACACAAATTTAGATGACACGAAACGCCCTCTCTCATCGTCATCGATCGGCAATTTTATACGATCAATCCATGCACAACACTGCTGGATCGTCTGCATGTACAGCATGCATGCATGAGCATGACGATCACATCATGCATGCTCAAATTTTTCTCTTTCTCGATAAATTCTCTCTGTTTAGTTTACACTACTGAAAGTTTAGTTGAAATTGAAACGATGTGATAAAAAAGTTAGAAATTTGTGTGTGTAAAAAAATTTTAATATGATGAAAAAGTTGGAAATTTGAAGAAAAAGTTTGGAACTAAACTCGGCCTACAGTGTTAGCTTGGGCCGACGTCCCATCGATCTGAGCTCAAAATTTTCTCTCTCTAGCTGTTGCGCGCCATACCTTCCCAACTGTTGCTGCCTCGAAAAGGCGCCAACTGCACGTGTGCCCCTGACCACCACCACCTCCAGCCTCTCTCTCTCTTCATCTTCTCCTCTTCTCTCACATCACATATATCACACCCACACACATCACATCACACGCATCCATCCATCCATCCATCTGAATTCTCCATTTCACTCTCTCTCTCTACTCTCTACAAGTGATCAATTCTTTCTTCTTCACGGAGCTCACCTCGATTGAATTCTTCTTCAGGTGGCCCATACCTCACCTCTCTGCATATTGCATCCATCCATGTCGCCCTCCATGCCTGTTAAATTACCGCACTGGGTAGCAGCAGCAGCTGCTAGCTGCATCTCTGCATCTGCATCTGCTGCTCACAGCTCACTCTCTTGCATGCTGCTGCTAGCTATCTACTGTTCCTTGCATCAGCCTCAAACTTCGCGCTAGCTACTCGATCGAACGATCCCTCTCGCAAAGCTGCAAACGAGCTGCTGCTGCCTTTGCTCACGCGGCTCGATCATTCATTCACATTCAGATTCGATCATGGCATCTATATGCATTTTCAGTAAAAAAAAAAAGTAACCAAACAAATTGATCGAATTAACTGCAACTGCATATACATCGATCGATCTGAATATATGCCAAGCGTGCATGCATGCAGCTAGATCGATGCAGTGCAGGCACCGGAGAATCATTTGCTGCTGCTTCTCTTCTTGTTTTTTTTTTAACATTGCTCTCTGGCCTGCTCTGTGGCTAACAAACCATGCATATTCATTCAATTCTTGCATGCATGCGAGCATGCGATCGATTGAATATGTACAATTGCAGATTGATCGATCGATCGATGCATCATGCAGGCTGCTGCTGGACATGCAGGATCGGAGGGGGTGCACTGTGCACTAGTCCTCCGATCCCAACCATGCATGCAAAGATGAACAGTGTACTCATGCTTCCGAGGCAGCATATGTCCAGCACTGGCTGCTCCCTGCTACCTTAGCTGCAGGAGAAGGAAATGCTCGGATGCAAGTACACACACATGCATGCACACTAACTAGCTCGATTGATCCAATTGCATATATATACTGATCATCAAGACATCAACTGAGTGTGCAGTGATGCATGGACAATATGTGCAGCTAATTTACTCACCGCAGGAGGCGGATCCAGAAAAATGGTTCACTGTTACAAAGCACTAATTTCACTCAAGACATGGGGTATCTATTGAGAAATTTACGGTACGCGGTACGCGAGAAGGGACCAGGTATCATATTTTGTAAATGTTGGTTTTGCGGTATTGGAAAAATCATATTTTTTTAGTATAAATTTTGGTACCTTTTAGTACATTAATTATGGTACCTCTTAAGGACCATAAAATTCATTTTTTAAAAAAAAAATGATACATGCTGATATCTGAGATACTGAGAGGTATCCCTCTAAGTACCATAAAGGAATAATTAGCCGTAAGTATGATCATCCATGTTACGCTTATTCGGATTACGAGATTGTAAAAATGCAGGAGTAATTCTGTAAAATAGAGAAAAAACAGAGGATTGAAAAACACAGTAATTCTGTAGATAGGATTGGTAAACATGTGTTTGGATAGACAGAGAAAAAACGTAAGAAATGGAAAAAATGAGGTAGAAGTGGATGGAAATTTCCCTTTGTTTCTCTATTGATTCCACGGGAAAGGAATTTTTCCTCCGATTTTCCTTTGTGTTGATTCCTATGAACTGAACGACAGGAAAGGAAATATTTTCTATCTACAATATTCCTTTGAAAATTCTCTAAAAAATCCCTCAATCCAAAGAGGCCTAGTGTAGGGCTCAAATTTGTGTGGGCAAGTTCCACCACTAGAAACCTAACCAGTTAAGTTACACTCACTTCGCTTTTATCTTCATTGTACACAACGGCAGGCCCAAGGCATGTGTGAACCAGACAAGTTGCCCGGGATGGTTTGGGTTTCATAACTGTGATGGCCTATACATTTTTTATCTAGTGTTCAACATGTTTATAATAATTGTTCTCTATGTGTTTGCTCAAAGTGGAAGAAAATTCTCAGCCTATATGCCCAGTAGTTTTACATCTATTTGCTTCCTTTTACAACACAAATACACAAATGGAAATATTGCAATAAATGCATTGGTATTAAAATCCTCCGGTTTTTTTTCTTTATTATGAAATCACAAATCCCCTGACAAACGAATTTGCGAGACAAATTAACGGAGTTATTACAAAGTAGGCAATGCGCATTAGATTTATATTTGTAAAAAAATTGGGATTTTATACGAACCATGCACATCTAGTGGGCAATGATATACTCCATACAAGCTAGCAGACAAAACAAAAAATTTAATAATTCTATGTTCACTACCAGGATCATGAATTTTCTTAGAGTGCCACAAACCGTCACTTTTGTCGGCCAACCTTCAAGGAAAATGAACACACCAAATCTATAGAGCAAGGGGAATGCCTTTTTTTTTTTCCTCTTTGCGGTTAACCGGTAGGGAAATCTATTTTGGCGGTCAAAGCAAAATACAGCAATGTCAAAGTTTTCAAATCGACAAAAAAAAATTACTGGCGGTCAAGACCGCCAAAATATGGGTCCATAATTTTTTTCAAATTTATTGTTCATATATTAGTAGCATATAATCTTAATATATTTAAAAGAAGCAACGAATTAAATACCCAAATATATATATTTGAGTAAAAAAATGAAACAACAATTTTCCACTTGAAATTTCGGAAAATTTTCCACCCCCACCCAAAAAAATTCCTTAAATTCAATAGTGCTAATCCTGGATATAAATATCTGCACATAAATACATATATGTAATTTTGTATACATATATATAGTAGTCCTCGATCCTGGCTCAAAGAAATAATCACAACAATGACGAAATGCATGCGCCCAACCTAATTGTTGGAGTGCAAGTTGTAGCTACGCACGCACAGCTGAATCTGAACAGCTGATGAAACACACACCTGTGAGGATCCAGCAAACGTCTGTTCCGGAGACATAAAATATAGCAATAGCTGTGTGTACACGTATGTGGTGCCACACAAGCATATGCATATGCATCATATAGAAGGTGAAGTGGTTGTGCTTAATCCCATCTGAACACAACCAAAACGGAAAGGAACAGAGGATATCAACTTATCAAAAGTAGAGCTAATCAAGCAATTATTCTACCATGTAATAATCATCTGATCGATCTGGTCATCCATTCGTTGGTGAAGTGGTTGCTCATGTGATACCATCTGTCCATCCATCCAGAGATGCCTTGTTTGACATATATGCATATGTGTATGTGTGTGTGACCGGATGAGCCAACCCCAAGAGAAACAACAACGAACTGACCCATCATTCTCCATAAAATACGCAGCTTTGCACACTAAGCTAGCTACCCCCTTGCTCCCAGCTACAGACAAATTAAGAGAGAAAGGTGGACAATGACATGATTAGTTTAATAATTGATTGATTGATTGGCTTGTAGACCCTTAATTAGTTGACTAATTACCACTATCTAGCTAGCAACTAGTAGTACTTGTATCATGCCTCCCTTCCTTAATTACTACTACCTGGCTACCTTAACTAATTAAGCTACATGAATCATGCATTATGCTAGCTAGCTTAAGGTAGTCTATTCAAGAGTAAATAAAAGGTAAAAAGAACACAAAGTAATTAATTAATTAACATCAACACTAACAGAGAGCACTAGTTTTAACCATCCAACCATCCTTAGCTGCTGCTTAATTGCAGTGATGAGCTTGCAATTAAGCAGATTGCCACAGATTAAACAACACGAGAGCATCATGATTAGCAAAGGCGGAAGAAGAAATTAACTCTTAGCTTAATTCATCCTACACCATGCACGGCTCGCTCCGATCCTTCTCCTCCATTTTTTTTCTCTCCGGCGAGATCGATGTTGATCAGTACGGCGCCGCGCGGCCGCCGCCGCCGCCGCCGCTGGTCCAGCCGTAGGCGGCGTCGCCGGGGAGGTGGATTCCGTTCATCAGGTTGTGTGGCAGATGGTCTTGAAGAATCGGCTGCTGGTGTGGTGGTAATGGCAGCGGCGGCGGCGGCGGCGAGGACTGGCCGCCGCCCGCCATGTGCTGCGGCGGCTCGTCGTCCTCGAGCGGGAGGCGCTCGTAGGCGGCGTTCCCGAACGAGGCGGCCATGATGACGACGGGGCCGACGGCGATGAGCGGTCCGGCGACCGTGCCGCCCACGACCTGCCCCTGGCCGCCGGAGACGTAGACGGTGAGGCCGGTGGCGGAGGGAGGCGCCGGCGGCGGGAGGAAGGAGCCGGACAGCGAGAGGATGTCGAAGCGGCCGGTGAGGTTGACGACGGCGCCGGGGCCCGCGCCGGGCTGCCGGACGGAGACGTTGGTGACGGCGCCGGTGGCGCTGAGCACGCAGACACCGACCTGGCGGCGGCGCGCGAACGTGGCGACGCTGTCGACGAGGTCGCACCCGGAGGCGACCTCGAGGACGTGCGCCCGCAGCGCGCTGGCGCTGTCGCGCGTGATGATGACCGGAGGCTTGGGCTTGTTCTTGGAGCCGGCGGGGCGGCCCCTGGGACGCCGGATCACCACCGGCGCCGCCGCCCCTTGCTGGTGCTGCTCCTCCCCGGACTGCTGCCTCTGCTCCTCCCCGCCGCTCCCGTTGCTCCCGCCGCTGTTGATGGTGTTGTTGCTCTCATCCACCAGCTCCTGCTTCGCCATCCCACCAGCCGCCGCCGCCGCCGCCACAAGCTGCTGCTGCTCCTCCTGAAACTGCTGGAACGCCGCCGGGTAGTGCGCCCCGCCGCCGTGGTGGAACGGGTGGTGGTGGAACGCCGCCACCGGTGGCGCTCCGAAGTGGTGGTGGTGGTGGTGCCCACCCCCATGCGCCGCCGCCGCCGTCACCGGATCCATCTGTCTCCCTCTCTCACGGTGGCGCGGCGTGGCGCGGCGCGGCGGTGGTCAAAGCGGAGGCGAGGGGTTTGGTTTGGAGGAGGAGACGAGAGGAGAGGAGAAGGGTTAAAATACAAGCGCGTAGATTGGGGAAGGGGGGAGTGGGGCCCACCAGGGGGTGGTGCGGTGGGACCCACCAGGGGGGAGCGGGCCCTGGGCTGGGCTGTCTGATCCTGATCGCGATCGCGCGGTGGCTGGCTGGTGCTGCCCACGTCTCTATCTCTTGCTATGTCACACCTCGCTCGATCGCTGACATGGCTGATTTGCGGCCGTGTTGTGTTGACCGTGTTCTTATAGCCTTTGCACCTCCACCATTGCCACCACGGCCACGTCACTATGGCTACTAGTATAACGTTGTCAAGACACTACCAAAGTATGGATCTTGGGGAGAATCAGAGATAGGGTGTGGGTGGTACGTACTCACGCCGCGATGCCAAACGGAGCGTCAAATAAGTGACTATACATGTGCTTTACTCTATCTTATAGGATGCGCGTTAGTTACCCTATCTTATAGAATAGACTGGTGCGTATTCACACCGTAACACCTGAACCTGAACGAAGCATCAAATTGGCGACTACATTGTGCGTTACCTTATCTACTCGCCATCTGTAGATACTACAAGATAGGGTGGTACGTATTCACGCCGCGGCGTACACCAAATGGAGCATCAAATAAGTGCCTGTGTGCGTTACTCTATTTGTCTATCAATCTATTCTTTTTTTAGAAGACTTCTTTTGGAATTGGGGCTTAGTACGGAAGGGATAGATAAGACGTATCACTGCAGATAGTGTGATACGTTACCGGTTACGGTTGCTTTGGCGTTGCGTGATGATTTTGCTGAGGCAAGGATAGAACCATTGTATGACCTGACACGTTGCAAATGACAAATTTAGAAGTTGACCACTAGAGCCGTCGATTTAGAAGTTGCACCCAGAGAAGCAAGCCAGCCTGATACAACCAACCAAATATGCCATATAGGCATGAGTATAATCACGTGGATACTATGATGATGCTACCAATGTGGGAATAAAATGTTATATGCATTTGTAAGTTTTCTTCACATACGAATTAGTTTATATATTAAATATATGAATTACATGTCAAATATCAAAATGTGGAGCATTATGCATGATCCACACACTTTGATACAATATATGCTATGCACTCCAAGGAACATGATCTTCAGCAGCTGCAACTATATTGTTGCCATATTGTAACCATGACATGTATGTTTTGTTTCTACAGTACAAACCTATGTTTTCTGAACTAGAATTTGATTGTTGTATATCAACATTAATTATACATGTAAATGTGTCATCCCTTTGACTAAAGCATGTTTTTATAGGTGCAAGCTAAGGTATGTGTTTTAGTTTTGCATCACATCCTAGATAATTAATGAACTAATTAACCAATTGAGAACAATAAGTGCACTCACTATATGTACTGTATTTACTAGTATTTCATTTATTCTAGATATTGTGTATATATATATATATATATATATATATATATATATATATATATATATATATATATATATATATCTTATTAGAAGTAGTGAAATGAATTCCCTGATGATCAAGAGAGAATCACCAAATAATTATATATATGTATGCTACTATATATTATCCAGAAGTTAGACTATTTTAGGGTCAGTCTTGTACGTGGATGAAAGATATATAGAGGGGCAACATCACAAGAGGTAGTGTGACGTTGTCTCTGTAGTTAAAGGCATGTGTGTGGGTGTACAGTTTTTGATATACTTTGACTATGCTGTATATATATTTAGGAATAACATTCAACATGAGTAATGTCTTCTGATCGGTCAACTGATCAAATATATGGCTTTAATTTACACCATAGTACATGTCAAGTATAACTATATGGAGCATGTATGTTCTAGCTAGGCTACTGAGTACCGGTCACGTACTCCTCTAAAGGACTTTATGCTCTCTTTCATTGTTTAATTGATGATGCCGTTGATTTTTTAGACATGCATTTGATTATTCGTCTTATAGAAAAATTATGCAAATATATAAATCATGCTTAAAGTATATTTTTTTATTTATAAAACAAATTACAATAAGATAAATGATACGTAAATCTTTCAAATAAGTTGAATGATTAAACGTGTGTTAAAAAGTTAACGGCGTCACCTATTAAAAATAGAGATAGTATGCTATATATTATACATATTATTTGTTTGTGAGGATCATGCATGACAATGTATGTTTAATTAGCACACTTTGTGTAACCTTAATTTGATCTATATATGTAAATGATGGGTTCTATTCTTCAAACTAAAAGAAAAAAAGTAGTGATGGGTTTTGACTGAAGACAGCTATTATTGGTGCACACCTTTGTGGCATTTTATTTTCTTGCGAAAGAAGACTATTTTTGGGTCGTCTTGAGTCTTTGACCTATACTGAATGCATGAGAGAGATATATCACTAGAGATATGATGTACTATAATAGTGTGATTCCCGTTACGATTGTGCTAGCTTGGTTCTCTGCATGCAAGGATTTTGTTGACTTGAAGACAGAACCACAGAAATGCCGAGGAAACTAATTGTATATATGACGTAATGTAAATATGGAGGGGATTGACTACCGGAACCCGAATAGATAATTTAGATTAGAAAAATACTCCTTGACAAAAATGTCGCGAATTATCAATTTGTATTAGCATTAATTCCATGATAAAGATTTGTTAGATTCATCCTACCACGATGGGATACACTTTGTCAATGCAATATGTAGGATCATTTAGGTTTTCCAGTCGATCAAATGATCACTACTACTTCCTCTATTTCATATTATAAGTCGTTTTAATATTTTCTTAGTCAAAATTTTTTAAGTTTGATTAAATTTATAGAAAAATATAGTAACATTTTCAACACAAAACAAACATATTATCTAAATATATTTAATGTTAGATTTGATAAAACTAATTTGGTGTTTTAGATGTTGCTAATTTTTCTTTAAACTTCGTCAACTTAACAAAGTTTGACTAGAAAAAAAATCAAAACAACTTATATGAAACGGAGGAGTAGTAGAAAAAACGGTTTTCACAAGCACCCCCTAATTGCACAGGCGGCATAGTGCCACTGCCTGTGCAGTACATCTAAAGAGTAGTGGGTGTGTCATTGCGTGAAAGATCGGTAGCAGAAATATTTTTCAAAGGCAATCGTCTTAAGCAACCGTCTACAAAAATTATATTTTTAAAAGTGGTCACTTAAGCTGATCGCTCGTGGAAATGATGTTATTTCGACATTAAGCTGGCCGTCATTGAAATTTTATTTTTTCCAGGCTATGCTCCTATTTATCTGCTTGAATCTTGTCTTGTCGTCTTCCTCACAACTCTTCGGTGATCGGCGCTTCAAAAATCAAGCCGTCGATCAAACGCTGGTCGCATCTCCATTACCACTAGTCCTTCTATCCTCTGCTTCTTCTCTTCTTTCCAATAAATATAATATATAGAGGACAACGTTGGTTTTCTCATCACACTTTCTTTTATCTTTTTTCTCCTTGTCTCTGGCTGTTTTTTTCGCGAACGCACAAAAGATTACACGTCAATATATTAGAAGAAAGCAAAGCTTTTGTTATATAACGCAACCGATCATATGACCATTGCCTGGGGACAAGGGAAAATAGAAAGAAACAAAAGGACTGCTAAAGTAAAAAAAAAAACGGAAAAACGCTGCTCCTCTATAGGAGGGTGGCGGCTGAGCCCCACTATACTTCTAATAAACCCCCAAAAGCAGCGGCGCCAGTGGATGACCACAGACAATCTTCCTGTAGGATGGCCTCCAGAATTGCTGAGACTAACAAGAGAGAGAGAGTAATCGAAAACCCTGAAATTCCGCTCTTTCCACGGCTCCTAGTCTCCTGCCATAGCGAACTCGTTACACCAACCTCAGTGCATCACCACAAGCGAGGAAGAGGAGCACCCAGAGCTGTCATTGGTGGAAATCGATTTTATCCGCACATAAAAAATGGTTTTAGCAGTAGTAGATGTGTCTATATGGTCACTCTATGCATGAATATTGAGTATATATTGACCCTTGGTCGTTGCCATTCATCCACATTTTGTATTATCTACGCACTTGATGTACCAGTGGCTATCAGCACAGCTATATCTGACATTTTTTTAGGGGTACAACCTGACAAAATTTGAGGTATGTTCTTCTCCAGCCGTGTGCATTCCATCGATTGATCTCGATACACTGACACTTCTCCTTTTCTACTCATCATCATCTGATGATCAGGTGTATTTTTCAAGTGCATCATAATTATATTTCTGTGGCTCTCATTCATCCTGCCGCCAACTTGGAGTGAATTATATATTAGTTCTTCTGTCTTAATTTTATATGTTCTGGTGTATAGAGAACTTATATATTTAAAAAGGTATAGAGAAACAGTGATATAGTAGTATATAGTATACTCGATCCAAAGAAGTAGAGTATATCACGCGAGCTGGACTAGCAAGAATATATATATTTTGGTTTGTGCTCATGTTAATTCAGAACAAAAGAATGAGCACGCACTTTGATGCGTGAGCATCACATATAGCCCAGCTGCTTGTGATCAAGTCGTCGTATCGACACTGATTTTCTTCTGAAGAAAAATCCAAAGAGAGAATCAATATATATATATATATATATATATAGGGCAGTAGAACTAGGTCAACAATCCATAGGTCGATATTACAGTACTGAAACAACGGCAGTGTCGATGATGATACTGCAGTAGTATTGGCATGCACTAGCAGACGACTGGATCAACATGCTCGATCATGCTGTGTAATATTATATCCAATCAGCGTGTCATATTCATATATGCTTGCTTTGCTTGATAGGTACTGCAGGAAAGAGAATTACTGACGAACCAACGAGAGATCGAGCAGTATTATTGATTCGGTTCGATCAATGATTCAGAAGAAATTAAAACAGGAGCTCAGCTAGCCGTCCATCCCAATTAACAATTAATAGAACTCTTCGATCGAATCACCGCTCCAATTTTCAGCAGCAACACCTGCA